ATCGATTCCAAATGGGATGAGGTATGGGAAAATCTCATTCTTACATAAATTACTGAAGTACTTTGAATATCTATAGGAATCATTATATGACCTTTTTTTTCTTCTTATAATATCTGGGGACTATTGAGTACTTTTTTGGGGGGAAGGAAATCAAAGGAGAAAATCTCTAGTTTTGTGAGTGCACTGAGTGCATCTTCCTTATCAGAACCTTAACAGAACCTTTTTTTTTTTTTTTTTTGTCTCACAATGGTAAATCTTCTATTAAGATCAATCCTGAAGATTAAAAGGCAGAAGGCTCCTAGAAGAATCAAGCAGAACATGCTTATCTTCTAAGTCTCATGACATGTCACAGAGGGTGACAGAGCCCTGGAGCAGGCTGCCCAGGGAGGTTGTGGGACCTCCTTCTCTGGAGGTCTTCAAAACTTACCTGGATGCCACCCTGTGCCACATGCTCTAGGTGCCCTGCTTCAGCAGGGGCATTGGACTAGATGATCTCTAGAGGCCCCTTCCAACCTTAATGATTCTGTGATTCTGTGACTTTTAAGACTCCATATTGGGGGGGGGTCTGCCATGTGATTTTTCTTTTGCTTGAGGACTGGCCACAGACAATTCATGATGTTAACTGCTAGTAGATGAAACCTAGACTAGAAAGAATGAACTGGATTTGGAAGTGACCTTGAGAAACCGAACATGTCAGCATGTATCATACAAAGGCACTTGGACAATAARGTCACAGTATACTGTATATACCTTAAAACACTTTCTCGTGCTCTAAGCAGCTAAGCCACTCCTTACTGCTATGGCAATATCCATCCATCTCTTACATATACAAGTTTTTATTGACTTACAGACATTGTTGCCATTGCATGATACGCTCTCCCTCCTACTGTGGACATCTATTGGAAGACTTCTATGACAGTAGCTTGTTTAGCTTGTGAGTACTTTTTGTATACAAGCTAAGTGAATAAAGCATGCTGAGCACAGAGAGCATGAGGTTACACACTTATTCTCTAACACAGGAAAAGATACACTGTCAAAGGAGCTGCTCTCTACACAAGCCCTCATTCTTCTGAGCTGGAAGACTGATGGCTGGAATTCATGACCTAAGCTGGTCCCTATCACTTACCCATTTTTGTCTTTCTAAACAAGATAAGCTGTTTGTCTGGATTTTACAATGATAAAATATGGGCTTGACAGCCAAGTCATGTATTTTTTGACAAAAAGTAGGTAGTCAGAACTTAACCAGGCTGTGTTCTGATTTGGCCATTTAAGCTTAAGGTCAATGAGGCCATATTAGCTGAAACCAAAAYGAATAGAAATCATCAACCGCTCTGKTGTGAGGCTGATAAATTTTAATGACCTTTCAGTGAGTTCAAGAATGTTTTATAGGTGACTTAACATCTCGAAAATAAGTGTATCCTTACGACATGGAAATTATAGTGGCTGCTTTGTAGGAGAGTGATGAAAACTATTTTTCATTTCTTGCTGTAGAAAAGAACAACCCTTTCCAAAACTCATTCTGTCAGTCATGGTAAGACAGCATAGACTAACATCCTATTTCATTGTAGTTTTTTTTTCCTTATATTTTATTTTTTCATTAAATTTAAGTTTTTCATTATGGAGAACTTTCATTGTGGAGCAAAYGGGTTGATTTTGAGGGTAAAAGCTTTTAATTCTTATTAAAAAAAATCACAAAAGTTACAGTACCAAAGAACATGTTTTAAAACTTTTTTTGTGCAGCAACTTATTTGCTAAGACAACTGGAATMGAACAAAAGAAAAGGATGCAAGTAGTTTGTGTGCACTTCCCTCCTGGGAAGGCAGATTTTAGACAGCAGTTATGAATATGCTACTATAATTTACAGATGTGTTGGATGAAGCAGGTTAGCAAGTGATTTATAAAGCATGCAGTTGTTTGGCAAATGATGCATCTTCATATGCTCTCTCTTTTGGAGATCTCAGAATAATGGGAATCCTTCCTCACATTTGGGCTCATCAATAAATACATCTTGCAGAAGGAGCCTCTTAGGTGGAGTCCAACTCCCCCTTGCATTTCCTCAGCTGGGTGAAGGATCTGCCGGGCTGGGACTGCTGTGGTTACATGTATGCTGCTCTTCATAAGCTGAACTTTCCCTCTCTGGTTCTTTTTTGTGTTTTCAGCCATCCTGTTTGGCTGAAGCACTTAGTTATTCAGCCTGCTCCATGTACCCCATCTCTCCAGTCCTGCAACTCGAGAGTCGTTTGGCTGAGGACTGGTTCCTGACTCATCCTGTAGATGGTGAATGTGCACAGCGGTGAGCTGGGTGTTTAATAGGAAGACTGGGATCAGTCCCCAGGGAACTTCTGTCTATAGAAATGACTTGTTAACTTTGCAGATATTAATTTTTGGCCTCTGTACTCTTGACAGGTGTCAGCACATGGACACAGCAAAATCTTCTGCAATTTAAGTATCCAGTGCTGTATTTCTTCATTCATATCAAATTAGTTCTTCTATTTCCTTCTGACTAAGAAGTTCTCTTAGTGCGTCTGTTTGCTTGTCTGTGGCACCAGTCCTCAAGGCACTTGCGCTACTGGTTTTTGTGAATTACATTAAGCACTTAGCAGCTTGAAGCCGGAAATAATGTGTCTTTGCATCCTGTAAACCCTCCCTTTTATGAACCACATGGTATTCACAGACACATGGACCCATAGTGCTGTGTGGTCTCCAAACACAAGCAAACAAGCTGTGGTTCCAGATATTGAATTATGCACATGTGAGGGAAGAAGATTTCTGAGTGTGGAATTTGTGGCTCTCTAGTGCAAAAGAGAGATGAACAAAGCAAAGAAAGTGCCGTGGAGAGCCACTGAAATAGCAATGGGACTGGTATGTACCATTTACAAGGAGCAGCTATGAGAACTGGATATGGATGACCTGGGGAAGGGAAAGCTAAGGGGTGTTTTAATTGCAGTTGTCAATTTTCTCAAGAGGAGTTTTGAAGAAGATGGAATTGGGTACATAATGCAAGGACAAGAGGCCAAGGTTACAAGCTGCAAAAAGAAAATTTCTGTTTCTCTAAAAAGAAAAGCACTGCTCACCCCGGGGGCTTTGCAGAACTGGCATGGGTAACCAGAGAGCCTGAAGAACATCCATCCTTGGGCATATTCATAGAGTGACAAAGATGATTAAGGGAATGGAGCATCTGTGAGGAAAGACTAAGTGAGCTGGGCCTGTTTAGCCTGGAGAAGACTGAGAGGGGAGCTGATCAATCAGCTGATCCCCTTCCTGAGAGGACTGAGAGGAGAATGTAGGGACKATGGGGCCAAAATCTTCTCAGTGGTGACCAGTGACAGAACAAGGAGTAAAAAGTACATATTAAAACACAAGAAGTTCCATCTGCATGTGAGGAAGAACTTCTTTCCTGTGAGGGTGACAGAGCCCTGGAASAGGCTGCCCAGGGAGGYTGTGGAGTCTCCTTCTCTGGAGATCTTCCAAACCCRCCTGGCTGCCACCCTGTGCCCCATGCTCTGGGTGTCCCTGCTGGAGCAGRGGGGTTGGRCTAGATGATCTCCAGAGGTCCCTTCCAACCTCAACCATTCTGTGATTCTATGATATTCAAGAATTAACTGGAAAAGGCTATGACAACTTTATCAAACTTTGAATAAAGGAGGTCCTTCTGTGCCTAAAAGTTTCTATGATTCTGTAACAATTTCCATCTTTTGTGGGAATTATTGCACAAAGTCTTTTGTTAGGCAAGAGGTGAGACTGGATGACAAATAACAATCCCTCGTGCCTTTACGACTGTGTACTCTAGTAATGCTCATATTTGATGAATTTGGACTCCCCTAACTTGTGTTCAGATCGTACTGCTTCTGCTTCCTCAACTCCTCATGTAACTTTTATTTGGGAATGTTGTAAATCTGAACAGATATCTGAAAGACAGTGGCAGTGTCCACAGCTCAGTGATGGTCTTTCTCAAGAAGACGAGGGAAAATTAGGAAAGATCTATTAGATTAGAACAGCTGTTTCAGTGCATGGCTGGGGAACTCAAGCATCCATGATGGTCTGTGATCCTGAACTGTGAATGAAAAGAGGCTGAGGAGCAACTCAGGATAGTTTGGGTCCTGCTAACATTATAGCCATGGTGGAATCTGCTGAATTACCTAGAAATATTTATTTAGACTAACATAAATCCATACAGAGAAAAAGAAGACCTTAAAAATCCATTTTTATTAAGTTTCTACCTACTTGATATAATTGAATTCTGGGCACAATTCACAGAAGTTGGCACTGTATATAGAATTATGGCAGTTCCATGCAGCACAGCTTATTAGAAGAAAAGTCAACTTTTTGATAAATGAACTTGTCTTTGGCTAGCAACAGATTAGAAGGTGAAGTTGTAAAAGCAGTAAAGTCATGGCTTAACAGTAGGTACTGATAAACTGCTGACTGATGAACATAAATAAATTATTTGGGAGTTCTATTAGGATTCAGTGCCCCAGTATCTTTAAATATTATGTTGAGCAGATACATATTAGTAAAAGTTTGGTAACCTAGTATATGGAATGTATAAAAGAAGGTCTAAAAGGCATTTCCAAAAGGATTTCCTTGGGARGTTTCTCCAGACTGAACCATACAAGGATCACTACATCCCTGCAGATTAAAAAAGCATGAAGATGGACCTTGTTTTGTTCTGTTGTCCTTTGGTATTGGGTAGTAGAGGAATATTTGGTATTAGAAGAAACATCAGCAAAGCAACACATTAATTAGAGACACTTTTTAGTCTGTTAAAACCACACACAGGAGAAACTAGAAATAGCAAATGCCCAAAATAAATAATAAAAAAACCCCAGCATTGCCTCTACTGGGGGCTCCTTGGAGATGTTCAGTGCTGGGCTCATTGTCTGGCAGAGACGCTGGGTTATCTGGCAGTTGTTCAGTCTCATTAAGWAAGAAAAGAGAGTCATAAAATTAAGACAATATAACAAGAGGACTGCATACATTTTATTAGGGAGGTTTTACAATCTGGAGGTTTTGTAATTTTCAGCTTTTGCCTGGTTATTGTAAGACAGCAGTGAGTCAGTGCCCAGATGTACCCCTCCAGTCCAAGAGCTATGAGCAGTGCCTGGTTCCTGCATCTGAGATCTCCTCAAATCCTGTGTCAAAAAATGTGATAGGAAATTTCTGGAAGGACTGCGGAACATATAGAATGGTATTAGAATTGTATCAGATAAAAACAGGAGGCCAAGTCTAGTACTACCATTGAGAATTTCTGTGGGTCACTTAGGCAAATCATTTTTTATTGAGTTTTACCTCTGTGGAAATGCAAACTGGGACAAAGTAGAGCGAAAAAAGTTGCTACAAGGCAGTTGCCTTGTAGATATCCTGACATACAGTCAGGAAAGTTCATAAAGTTTATAAAGACATTATTTCTTCATTGGATTATAAACAGAGTTATTTTTGTTAGAATGTGTTACTTCCATACTAGACTTATTTGTGGTTAGTAATGAAATTCAAACTTAAGGTGTAGTAATGATAGAAAACGATTAAAGGAAGTTTTCTCAATTGATTCTCCAAGTTCCTACCAGATTTCTGTCTCTTGATCACTACAACCCTGTTTACCTGTCTACAATCCTTTCGGTAATAATTTTGTTGCAATGGTGAGACAGAAATTGAGCAAAAGGTCACTGGTGTTATGTAATTCAATTGTTATTTCCAGACTTGCTCCAATAACAAGACCACTAAACTCCAGCTGGTGTGTGAAGCCTGAGGAAAGAACAAGATAGAACACAATTGGGTTTAGAAAACGTCGTATTTGCTATAAGTACACTAGAATAACGTTTTATGATTTTTTTATTTGTAGTTGCTTATTTCCAAACCTTGTAAAAGTAACTTTAGAAACTTCATATATTAACAATGAAGCTTTTCTTCATTTTCTTCACTTTTCCTGCCTGATCAAGGTGCAGTGGAGTGAAATGGGACTCGAGAACATGCCACTTCCAGTGAGTCAGGGTAACAGGAAGATGTGCCCAGACCTCGTGTGTGAGCAAGGCTGTGTGGGGCTTGTACTGCCAGATGCCTGCTTTGGGGCAGATGTTCCCTCTGGCAAGCAATAAAAAGTATCGTTCCTGCAGAAAGCAGACAGCAGGAAGTCATCTGGCCATGGTCAGCACCCCAGAGTTCACACTGAGGCATGGAGCTTTCTCTTTTCCATCTGGCCAGTGAGGTGTCTGACTACAGCTGCTGTGATCCATGCTGTTTCTGTCTTGATTGGTCACTGTGATGTGTTTTACTTGGAGATGTGTCTGAAATCTCTTGGATGCAAGTGCATTGTGCAAGTGCCACCTTCTTTCAGGGAATTTCTTAGAACTGCACAGCATCACTGCCCTGAGCCACAGTGGTTGCTGTTGATTACTCAAAAGTCGAGAAGGTTTTTGTATTGAAAAGTATAAAGTCATAAAGTTGTTTTCTTTCTTTCTTCTTTCTTTTTATTTTTTTTATGTCCATTCTGTGCATGCAGAAGTGTGATGGTCTTTTCTTAAAATGTAGGCTGTTCATTTGAACGGCCAATTTTGTAAAAGCAAAACAACAGCAAAAAAMAAAGTGAGAGAGAACAGATGTTAGATGGGAGAAAAATCACAGATATCAAGTTTTATTTACTTCTCACTTTTTCTTCAGCTCYGCTTTCCACTTTCAAAGTTTTCCTCACTTTGGAGAATGAGCCAGATTTATACTTCATTTTATTTTATTTTTTATCCAGGATGTTATTATTCTCTGAGTTGAGGAAATGCATTGCAGGGCAATGAATTCTAGACCTGATTTGCTGGAAAGGCAGCTGACACTTTTTATTGAAGGCAGGTACAGGACTGAATACATAAGCTGGATGTGCTGTGTCAGAAGCAAATGAGAGTATGCAGATCTTTAGGAGGAGGTGAACATGAAGGATTATGATATATTCATTGGCGTGATCTATAGTGAAATCTCCAAGGACACAGCTGCTAGCAGTTGAAGAGTCTGCAGCAGGACTAGCACTAGAGGAAGAATTAACCACTACATAGAAAAGGAGCTTGTCGCAGATACCCACTGAGAGTGTATCCAAGCATGGGTAGAAAGTGAGTACCCACACCCACTAGTGAGACTAGTGAGGGAGTAGAAACCATCCCCCACAAAAAGCTTCACAATTTCTAGACAAGAGCAAAAAGTAGGAGTAACTGCCAAAACCCACATGAGGATGTGGGACATGCTCTGCCAAGACGCCCTGGCACTCCTGGAGGTGGACCAGAGCAACCTGAAACCCAGGAGGTAAAATATTACTGAAGCCACAACCAGACTTCTGGCCAAGATGCTCCTCTGCTCATTCATGTCAGCACTGCTAATGGCTCTACACAGATCCAAAGGGACTGTGACACAGTGGAAGGAAAAGGGAACGGCTGGAGACTCCCATCTGTCCTTCCAGTGAGGGGACAAAGCACATCCACATAAAGGTGCATCCTGCAGATAAATGCAGGGCTAAGCAGATGGTACTGTCAGGCAGCCTTCCACTACTTCATCTAAAATGATTTTGAGACTCATTCACTGCTAGAAGTCCAAAATACATAAAAGGAGAAGACAAACTTTGCAAATGAAACATCTTCTGAGAAGAGCTTAAATCTAAGACCAAGAGTTGTACCGGACTATATATGTAACAATGTTTTTGTAACGTACTACAGGTTACTGTAGTAATGTTACTGACTTGGACAAAGGGCTAAAAACTAGATGTGATATTTACCTATTATACAGATACAGRAGCAACAAAAGGAGATAACAGGGTAGTCTGTCAAATATTTTATGTATCTGTATAATAGGGAATATATCTGAGAAACTGAAATGCTTCACACACAGGCAATTGAAATATCCTTTCATTTATATAATAGAAATGGAGAAAAAATGCGTAATTGGGACATTAATAAAAAAAGGCATAATCTGTTCAAGGAGAAGAGGGGGGAGGTGTTACTTGTATATCCAAGAAATATATACTAACTCTGTTATCTTGAGGGTATTAAGAGGCAAGCCATACTGAAAATCTCTGAACACTTATTAAGAGGGAAAACAGAGACACCCTATGGTTGGGCCACCATAGTAGGCTCCATAAGAAGAGTATGGATGAGACTTTGTGAGAAACAAGCAGAATCAACTAAACCACAAACCTTCACTGTCTTGGAAAGGAACCCAGGAGGACACTATATCCATTCTGCTAAGGAGAAAGATACGTGACTTCTCTTTGGGACTGAGGCTTGGASAGTTGCTTGGGACAAGCAACTAACACTATTTTTTTGTCTGTTTTGTTTATTTTTCTCGAGCTTTTTACACATGTAAGTTCATATATTGACTAGAGAATAAAAAAATCTTGAATATCAAAATCAAAACCTTTCATGTAAGGCATTGGTTAAAAGATTACTTCAGAAAGTATGTATTTTTTATTTTTTAGACAAGTAGCCAAGATAGTTCTAAAYCCCACTTTGCATTTTTCAGGTTCCTGTAATTGTTGTCCTGGACTTGTGTCTCTTCCTGATCAGTATGTGGAGTATGTTTTTTATATCCTGATACATCTCTTCTTCTCACACCTTTTATAAATGTTAGTGGCTTATTGGTCCCAGTTAATGATCCCAGGGAGTTACGCTAAATGATACCAACAGTTCCTTTCAATGTGGAAAGGAAAAGGTTGCCATAAGTTAAGATGTGGCCCAACTTTATAGTTCTCAAGAGTTGATATTAAAATATAAGGAAGAAACAAAAGAACATGCAGGAAGGAAAACAAAGTCAATTATTCACTAAACACTCAATCGTTTCTGATATATAAATGTACCCCAGAAGAATTACTTTTTATCACATTCTTTGTTAAATGAAACCCATGTTCCATTTACTTTATTTAGGAAACTCATACTGATGAAAGGTCAAATTAATCAAGCGCTATCTTTAAGCACAGTGTGAGTTAACCAACCTTATAAAAAGAGCTAGTTTTGCCAGCCCTCCTGCCCCTCCCTCACTGTCACTGATAAGGAAACTGAGCAGATGTTTTGTAGAAGAGTAAGTGACATATTACAGCTGATTAGGCTATTGAATTAACACTCTTGGCCTCAGAGGGAATTGGGCAGAACACAAAGCTTGTTGTGTTTTACTTTCTTTCTTCATAAAATTTTAGGATCTTGYCATATTGGTTTGTGGATCCCAGCATTGCCAGACCACCCGGGTCTTGTACCCTGCCTAGYTGGTGGCAAGTACAGAACATTGCTATAGTCCAGATTTCTCCAAATTGTTCTAAGCGCTCAGCAGCATATTTACTGAATCCTTTCTGTGTTTCACTGACTTGATTACAACTTTGCTGTAATCATAGTAGTGAGCCCTGACTACTGTTGTTTACTTGGGCACWGATCTGTATGAAGCCACATTCTCTAACCTTAGATGTTAAGTAGTGTGATGGGGGGACGAGCACACCAGCAGAGAGGATGAACACTATTAAGAGGATAATTATTAAACACTATTAAGAAGTAATATGATTAYGGAATGTTGTGAACAATTTTCATGGCAAATGAAACAGTAAAAAGCATATGAGAAAGATTTCTTTGATATGAATGTGCATGTATGCATGCTTATTTTATTAAGCCTCTTATTTTGTTACCTCAAAACTAGGCAAGTTTCTTGTGAGCTTGATCTATGTCTGTAAGATGAAGCCATAGAATCATAATGRTTGGAAAAGACCTTCAAGATCATCAAGAATTATGTTATCCTTGAGTTTTATCTAATAATTAACTTGGGCTTGAACATATATTCTATTCACCTGTGTGGCTTTTGCATCCATGAGTGAAGAGAATCTCTCTTTCCCTTGCAAGCAAGGTAATGGATGGTGTTTCTGCAGCAGCTGAACACACAGACTGAGTATGTGACTCTAGAGTTTCTTTTATCTCTACCCTGGAGGAGCACGGGGAAGGTGTCCTCTGCTTTGCTGCACAGAAGTGACAGCAACCTGTGGGCAGGAGAGGAAGAAAACATGGTCAAGAGAACCCTGTCTAAAAGTTAGTACTGTGGTTTGGTGGTCTCAATAGCACTCCTGCTTTTTTTTTGAAAAATGAAGTATTACTTTACTCGGTCATTTTGTGAGTTGGTTCATTTCCTCATCTAAGTAAGTGCTAAGAAGCATTGGGAAGTGCAGAATACCACAATTCTCTCATTTGGGAAAAAGAAAATATTGTTACAACTAAAGAAACGTATATGTATTTATGCATTTTTCAAGTGAAATGACAGTCCCTCCGTTCAGTGCATTGGAACACAGATCCTCAACTGTGTGACTCCTGATCATCACAGTGAACAATTTGAAGGGGAATAGAAATAACCCGTTAGACCACTTCTAGCTAGCACAGTAACATATGGGTATGGACACAGTAGCAGATTCCATCTATAGTAAGTCTACTGAATGGGAGATATGAAACATGCAAAAGTGGAATTCTATGCCAAATTTTTCAAAACTTGTGGAAAACTCAACACAGGACTTGGGGGCATTTGGGGACTGCTCAGTGTGCCTCGCTAAGGAAGGAGGCAGGGAGAGCAGACAGGTTGGCCTAGATGGTATCCAGAGACCCTTTCCTTCAATCATTTTGTGATTCTAAAAAGGATGAATAGAGAGGATACGGAAAATTT